TTAGGACCCACACAGACCACATGGTGACTGCCGTCTACTGGTCCCACTAACATCTGTACTGCCTCCAGCAACAACCTTAGTTTTCCCAGGAGGTCACCCATCCAGGTACTGACCAGGCTCACACCTGCGTAGTTTCAGTGGGTTGCCAGTTGTGAGTTGCAGGGTGATATAGCTGCTGGCTACAGAATTATAAAATTGATAGAGCACGTTAAGATGAACAGATGTTTTTCACTGCAATTAGATGAGTCTGTAGTTGATTTGGCCAACTTGCTCGTTTACGTTATATACGAGTTTGAGGGCATGTCCCATGAGGACTTTCTGTTCTGTAAGCCACTACCAACAGGAACTACAGGAGAGCACATATTTCAGTTTCTGAATGAATTTATCGAAGAGAATGGCATCGATTGGATAAAATGTTTCGGAGTTTGTATAGACGGTGCTAGAGCGATGACAAGCTGACACAGCGTGTAGTTGCACAAATTAGAGAGGTTGCTGCAGAAATGAATGGACGCATTGCAAAATCCACTGTGAGATTTTTGCGGTCAAGAAAATGCCTGACGATTTAAAATCTGTTAGACTCTGTTGTGAATTGTATCAAGGCTCGAAAAATTAATTCACATCTGCTTTGCTCGACTAAACAGGCTCACCCCTCTCACTGAAATGGTGCTTTTTTATTATTTTTATTTGTTGTTGTTACTGTTTTTTTCTGTAAAACACTTTGCAAAGCCACCTTTAAAGTGTTATTATTATAATATTTATTATATGTATGTGTGAGTGTGAGTGCACACACGCTCATGTTTGTCATTGAGAATTTCTGGGGTTCCTATGAGATGATGACCTGTAGGTGGTACTTGGATGCTTTGGTTGGATTAGGGGTGGTACTTGGTCCAAAAAGTTTGAGAACTAATGCACTATGGCATCAAGTCATCTCTTGTTGACTATTTTCTAGCACTGTCCCTGTTGACCAAGCAGGAAGTGATTATATTTTCAGGGGTCAAATGTGACCTTTGGGAACTGCACGATAGTCAACGTGTCTTTTGCAAAACACTTTAAAATGAAGTTTAAAAAAACAGAATGCTAAAAAAGCAGAAAGGATGCAGTTTTGAATCTTAACAACTTGCCCATCTCAGTCCCTATAATCAGGAAACAAGGCAGGTACACAGCGTATATAATTTCCAGTGTCCTATTGGTCTTTATCATAAAATGTTCCTCCTTTCTGGCATCGGTGTAATAAGGAAGAAGTCTTACAGGAAAATGACATCAGTTTTATTATGAACATTGTTGGAAGACTGAGGTCCACTTACAGTATTCACTATTCCCACAAACTCTCACTGCCCTGCTCATAGTTATGTTACTGCCTCAAAACTGAAAGTACCGTGGTTATGGTATCAGGGGAAAAGGTGTAAGACAGACATCTAAAACAATTTGGATGTTCCATGATTTCAAACTCACCCCAAGTGCTTAATTGAAAGATGTTCATGAGCTTTATTTAGGCTCAGACATAGTAAGATTCGTGAAGAATTATAAAAAAAGTAATAATCATACATACTTTTCCACCAACTGATTCCAGTGCTTCTTAACAAAATTCCAAGCTATGAAGTGTCCGGTAGGATTTCTGCTCACTCTGTAGATAAGTGAGGAGAGGTCTTGTGTCTTTATCACAACACCTTCCAATCCCAGATCAAGCAATCTACAAAGAAATCAGATTCACTGTTAGTGTGTACGCAATCTATACTGTAATCACCTATATTTTCCCAAACCAAAGGTTAATTGAGTCAAAATAACAGCTCTTATAGTTAATATGGTTATGAAAAAAAGCCTCCTGAACTGACATTGGGGAAAGTCCAAAATAACAGCATTAAAAGGAACTGTGACACGAGTAGGTCAATTTAGGAACTGAGCAGCTCAATATGGAAGCATTACTTTAAAGCATCCATCACTTTTTGTACAGTATTTCAACAAGGTTGCAGGGCTTAATTTTGCCTCGGAATACACTTCGGATATATGGGAGGTAATTTTTTTTTCCTTCTCATTAATCTTGTACCACATATTTCACTTTAATTGGTAGGCAGATACATTTTGCTTGATTTATGCTTACTAAACAAAACTAAACAAAGATTAAAACTAAAGAATATTTAATAAGATATTGTGAAATTCTTATATACCTTGATAGCTTCTCAGAATCCATACTGCTTGCTAATGCACCCAAAATTTTGTCTTTCTCAGTCCCTGATAAGGATACTTGATACTTGTCTAGGAGGTAGGTCCATCCTTCTGGTCTCTGAGCTCCAACAGAATAAACCGTTTCAGTCACATCAGTGGGTAAACTGTAAAAACAAAAAAACACCTCCTGTAACTAATCATCTCATATAACCTCTTTAAATTACCAGTATAAATAGATATGGAATAGTAAATGGCTACTGAGCACCATTAAAACCATTAAAAAGCTAGCATAAATGGAAGTAGTGAAACTCAGTCTATTTTATGTCTAAGATTTTGATGAAATTTCAGTTTTTAATAGTAGCATGGTGTGCTTTTTGAGAACAGTCAAGACAAAAATACACTAAAGGAACAAGTAAAGGTTTATTCTATGCCGAAAAGAAAACAGACAACATTTCAGCTTTGGAGCCTTCTTCAGGTGTGACACAGGCGAGACACCTGAAGAAGGCTCCACAGCTGAAACATTGGTTCTCTTTTCTTTTCAGCATGGAATAAACCTTTACTTGTTCTTTTGTAGCCTACGCATGCTGACGCAGATACCTACTTGAACTTCAAATACACTAAACTCAACACAAACCATTGGAACTAAAGAGGGTGCAGAAACTGTAAAGCTTTAGCAATAAAAACCAAAAAATAATGCTTTTTGCTTTTTATTTAAAAAGAGGACAGACTCTCAGAAGTGGCCGATATGCATTTACTATTTTGTGCAACAACACCAGGAAGACTTCTGATACTAAGAGGACTACAATACATCTCATTCGTTCTATAACTTACAGTGCACATGGTATTAGACTTTTTAGAAAGAAGTGGTATACAAAGAGGGTTGATGTTCAAGAACCTGATTGTGCTGTTAGATCCAACCCATTCACTGAAGAGGTGATTTGCCTTTTTTACACATGGAGGATATCCAAGGTCACATGCCAGTTCGAGGACAGCTGAACGAAGCCTCCTGTCTGACACCGATCCTTCATCACTCCATGTTTGCTTGTCGATCACATGGTTAAAATACTGCAAGATATAATTCTGTACAAGAGTGACAGTCACTTTAATTGAAATGCAGGAACAGGATTCATTCCAACACTACCCAAACAAAATGTTCAGGCCTTCAGTTTACATCTAGCTGCTTTGTTACACAACCCAAAGCCACAAATCACGCAAGTGAATGAAAGTTGCCTAATTTCTGTTATTATTTCTTTTTCAAATCATGTATTAAAGTAGTAATGTGCTGTTTGAGCAAGAAAGTGAACTTTGATCTATTTATCAAGTAAACATTGGTCCACACTGCTGTTTGTTTCATTGATTGAAATGTTCCCAATACGTTCTCTGATAAGCTAATGAAAACAGAACAAGGTCTAAAAGATCCAGCAAATACAAAAATATTAAACTGATCTGAGTATCTTTGTGGCTGATATTTCTATCTAGATATATCTAATTGTCTGACTTTCACCATTTATTTTCTTAAGTTTTTTTCAGATGTGATTCTAAATACCAGCAAAACCTTGGTGAAAACCAAGAGAAGAACTGTTCATATAAGCATCTAAATATCTTTGATTAGTAGATTAGGAAACCTTTTAAGGAAAATTTTAGTTGTTTTAGATGCAGTGCATTTTAACGTGAACTACTTGTTTATACAGTAAAGTTCTGTAAAGCTTAAAGACATTATTGAAAAAATGTAGTATACATTGTATACTTTTTACTATAAAAGTAGAGAGGAACAAAATCCTTCTGCATTTTGTGTTGTACAAGGAAACTGAACCTTAGCTATAACAACATTCACAGATCCACAGATGTTGCAATAAAAACTGCAAGGGGGCAAAATTGCCAGATTGAATTCAAAGTCAAATAAAGAAATAAAACAGTGACACGAGGGTTACCAAAGCACATATTGTAATGCTTTGGTCTTTAAAGCATCAAATGCTAGAATTCTTCAAATTTTAAGGCAAGTAAATAGTATTCAGATTTTATTAAAACATTATATTAGCAGGGATGAGGAGACATAGCTCATCCTTAGGAAAATGAAAATAGCTTGAAATGCATTTACCCATGAGACCAATAATGGACTCATTTCATTATACCTGTCTCAAAACAAAACAGAGGCAGGTAATAGCAATTAAGCAAAGATGCAATAGTGCTAGCACATTATGTTAAAGCATACCTTAAGGTTTTGAGTGACATCAGGGATGTTCCTCCTTTCAATCATTCTGAAGAAGACCTCTAAATAACCAAGACCTTGCAGCAGCGGGACATTGTGAGTTTCATGGCTCAGATAGCGAGTAAGATCAAGGGCTTGATTCAGTGACAGCCTCCCTGCACTGGATAATAATTTGTTAAACACAAAATATACTAAAGTATTCAGTACAGAATTGTTTTAAGCATGTTCTCATTCATCATCACGTTAAAATAATACATCTTGAGATAAAACTGCAAATGTTTACACAATGTCTTAAAAACTGTAAACCTAAAGAAAAACCAAGTCTGTGGGGAAGTATTTAAACAAGACTCACTTTTTGCTTTTCATTTCCCAAAGATACAACTACTTTTAAACTGCACATATGTAGTTATTTAACCACTACTACCTGATTTACATTTTTTTAAAGTACTTTCAGATTTTTTTCTACATCATATAGGTGTTCATTTTCTTGTCATTGGTGGGCACTGCCTTTTTAGGCTGAAAATGTTTTTCAGGATGTCTCTTGATCAATTAAGACATTTACACAGAGATAATTAAGAACAATAGGAGAAAACCCTGTAAAAATTAGAACAGTCTCATCAAACCAATAAGTAAATCAATGACAGTAGGGAACTTCCATCAAATGAATAGACTCTCAGTGGCAACTAATGCACGGCTAACTTGTGAAGCAGGAGTCAGACCTCCAGAAATCACCTTCAATCTATAGCTTTTGGGGAAAAAACTGTTCAGTGCCACCTATAACTAATGCGCTTGCAGGTTATTCTGCAAGATTCAAATTGGGATTCAAAATGGAAAATCATGTTGGAACACCAACTGTGCTCAGGTCTCGTTCAAGCTGTTCCTGCTGCTCACAACTGTTATAGCTGATGAGGTTTACTATGGCAGATTCGGACCAGTGAGTGTACATTACACTGTATATATCTTACCTGACAAGCTGAAATGCATTGTGGATAAGGTTAGCTCTGTCCTTATAGCTCACAGCAGTGTGGTTCTTATTAAGCAGGTTTATCAGGGAGTCCCATCCATCCCCTTCATAGTGCACAATGTAATATCCATTCATATCTGTGTTAAACTTTACCCAGCTCACCTCTTCCTCCATTTCAACCGTATCTACGGAAACAAAGTAAGTGATATGTAGTTGCAAACTAAAAATGTTTGGGGTTCGTTCTGCAATCTGCAGGGTTGCAGTGACGCTACAGCTAAAGATGTCTGCTCCTCCAGGGAATACTAACTCTCCTGTTGTGCACTGCAGAGCTTATTGCCTATGACAGGAGGAAAAGCTATTTCAGATGGGTGAGTCAACGGAGCTTGTTTGCAAGTCCTCATTTTCCCATTGCAGTATGCAACTCTTGCTATAATGTCAAAGCTTAAATCAATTTGGCCATTACAAATTGGATAGGTCTATAACATAAAATTGGTACAAGGAAAGTATTGCTGATGGCAACTGTTATACATTTTTCCAGCAAAATTGGTACCTTTATTGCAATTTTGTCAATTTTACGACTTTCACTGCAAACAACTAAAAGCATGTGACAACTAGAGTATTGTAAAAGTAAGCCTTTAAAATGGTCTAATGTTTTACTGTATATATAAAAGTGCTATTACCTGATTTTGTTTCCAGCAAATATCTTCCAATTTTTCTGGAGTTGCTTGTCATGTATGTCAATGGAACATGCCACAAGTAACTGGAATGGTTTTTAAAACACAAAAACAAGTTTGCTAAATTGCTTTTAGAAATTAGCATTTAATATTCAGTGTATTCTGAAGCCCCTCTTTCCACCCTGTTTGTATTCCATCACCTCTCCTCTAACTCTTATAAATATACAGAGCCTTGCAAAAGTATTAACCTCATTCAGATAATGTCCCACTATGTTGAACTGTATTCAGAAGTTAAAATGTGATAAACGCATTCAAAAGACACTGACCAGTTTTTAGCTGCTCTGCACAGGGGAAATTCAACACAGCAATAGCGCTACATTCTGTACAGACGACCTTGTCTTGTAAGATTAAGGTTTGTTCTTACCCCTGCTGCTCAGAATTCCATGAGGGATCAGAGGGTAGAACAGTCTTTAAGAACCTCTCCTGTCTGAGTGTGACCACATTTCCTATGCGATTCACAATAATCAGGGGAATTCCCTTCTGCAAAGTCCATGTGTTCATCATTTCCTTCAAGTCAAGGTGCTCTCCAGCATATCGGTACTTTGGAAAACACACAGAAACCAATTGCATACATTTCCAGACCAATAATACCATGCAGCAATCAACAGCATACAATATTCCAGTTCTTCATAATTTAAGAATTTCAATCCCCAATTTTTTTAATTAATAATTCACAAAGCATATGCCTTCCATTTAAGATTTTACTTACTGCATTCTTTGTAGCTTGACTGCTGCTGTAGCAAAACTCTCCTGAAGTAAAGTCTTCCTCACTGCAAGTCTGAAATGACAAGCAAGATTTAATGTCCTCTATGAGACTGAAAATGACATTAGTTTTCTATATTCATTTTTATTGATGTAGTAAATTTAATAAATCAAACCACAATATCTCAAATAAAATACTGACTAAAATTTACAGTTTATGGTCCCTTTTTAGATACCTTATACAAACTATTTTGTTTCACTATCACAGTTTGTTTACTTTATGTATTATACAGTATATAAGGAATGACACCCACTTTTTTCATATTTTATCATAACATTTCATTCTTTAAAGGAGTTTATATTGCCCTGCTATTTGCTATCTGATATTATGTGTAAATATATTTTTTTAAACCTGCTGTAGTCATGTGAATGCCTTGTTATTGATTATCTATTGTTTTTCTAGTACAAACACTCAAAAGAGGAAACGATACATTTGCAATACTGTTCCATAGATCTTCATTCTTGGCATTTTTGTAGCTGAATTTCCTGAGATAACGGACAATTCCACTCTGGAAAACGTCATCTGTCAGAAAGTTCCTCAACATGTGAAGGATACAAGCTCCCTGAAGTTTCAAACAAACAAAAAAATTAAAAGCAGTTATTGTATACTTTTTTGTTTGAAGAAATGAAAAATTAAGTTTGAATTGGCTCTTAAAGGAGGGGTGTACCTAATGTTTCTTAAAGGGAATAAAACAGAGACAGTGATTTCCAAATCAGCCTTACCTCAATTATATCTTTTAATTAAAATTTAACCAAATTAGCAGAGCATTTAAATGAAAACCATTAAATAGGAGATAGTCAGCACATATTTAGAAAATGCAGATTGTTCCTAAACTACTTACTAGATTTCTTTAAACAAGCACCACATGCAAAAGATAAGGCACAAGACAATGTATTTTGACTTGCAAACAGTAATTTATTAAAACCTTTCTGAAAGACTAATCCTTCACTAAGGATAGGTAAGGAATTCAAGTTTCTGTGCTTACATGGATAAACAATTGGTTAAAGATCAGAAAACAGTACAAACAAAAGCTGTTGCTGTAGACTGGAGAGAACATACTTTTGGAATACCACAGGATCAGTGTTACAACATTTATAAAAGAGAACGTAAAATACCATGCTAACCATGACATGATGTGAAGCAAACATTGGTTTCAGAGTATAACAGTAAATTTGCAAATAGATGTTTGCGTCTATCTAAATACAGAATAGACGTATTTACAACAAGCCTGAACAACTGTATCCAGAAGAGACAGAGTTAAAAAAGCCCTTCTTACACACCACCAACAAACCTATAACAAATAACATCTCAAAATACAACACATTCTCTTGCCTACATGTTACAACAAAAAGGAAACTGTCATTTTTACAACGATAGAAGACAACCCCTTTAAAAAGAATAGATGGCTTCTGAGATCACTAGACTATTTGCAAGCTAAACCGACTAAAGAAGCTAAAGAAGACAGGCTGAATGGACTTCATTCAATCCTAGCCTTCTAATGATCTTAAGTCTGGAGAACTGGTAAATACACACATTAGTATAATGTTTAAAAATTTAATGAAGAAATATCTGATGGAAGCTTTCAGAAAGTTAACACTTCATTCCTTTCCTGAATAAAGCAAAACCTGAATAAAGGTTTTTTTTCCTGAATAAAAAAAATCAATGAATTGGCTTCATTACTCTGCTCTCCTCCCCACTGATAGCTGATGTGTGGTGAGTGTTCTGGTGCACTATGGCAGCTGTCACATCTTCCAGGTGGATGCTGCACATTGGTTACGTGTTAAGCGCTTTGAGTGGAGTGTCCAGAAAAGCGCTATATAAGTGTAAGCAATTATTATTATGATTATGATTATGATTATTATAATAAAACAAATGGTACCTTGTCATAGGAGACAGTGTCAAACATCTCTTTTATCTGAGTGGGGTTCTCAGCAGCGCTGGATATGGGCCGTGAGGAGTTCAGGGAATCCCTGCCAATTGCTGCAAAGCAAGTGTCCAATAAGTAATCCTCCTGCAGAGAAATAGATATAATAATACATTCAGTGAGGATCCTGGAGTTCTAAAAATCAATTTTCAAAAGGTCTTCTAAAACAATTTTAACTACTACCAATGAGAATTAAAATATTTCAATATTTCACATAATTTTTGAAACACGACACAAACAATTCACTTCACACGCACTGAATTGCAACAAAGTTATTTATTGTAATTAATTCTAACTTTTATTTGATATTTGAAACAGCGCAGTGGCCCAATGATTAGCATTAGGACCTTGCAGTGCTGGGGCCCTGGGATGATATCTGCATGGAGTTTGCATATTCTCCCTGTTTGCATGTGGGTTTCCTCCCATAGTTCAAAGACATACTGGTATGTTAATTGACTTCTGGGAGAGCTGGCCCTGTGTGAGTGTATGCATGTCTGGGTGTGTGCCCACATCCATTGTGTACCCGGCTCCCCAGCAACCCTGAATGGGAAGTAGTGCTTAAAAAATGGATAGATGTGATGTTTGAAATATGGAATAATGATGCATTCTGTTTCATCATTATCCTAAACAAAATCTACAGGTTACTAGAAATGCAACGCACCACTTTCAGCTCAGGGTACGTGGCATCTACTGAAACAAATTCCATGTATCTGGCAAATCCCTCATTCAGCCAGATATCATTCCACCACTCCATTGTTACAAGGTTGCCAAACCACTGGGAAGAGAAAAAAGTGAAATCACAAGCAGTTCTCTCTAAGCCGAGGAGTAAAATCATATACAGCTATAAACACTATATTTGTTGACAACATTTACTTTCACTTAGCTAAGAGCTGTGATTTTCTTAACAGCCCTCCCATGTTAGGGGTTAGTTTATTGGAATTAAAATTATCCATCTTCCCAATGTAATCTTTTCCAGAAAACTGTATGGCTTGGTGCTTAGTTTGCAAATGTAACAGTAGAACACCATTTCAATTTTGTACTTTTTGGTAACAAAAGGACAAACCAGCAAAAACATGACCACTCTGACTAAACTAAATCTGTAGCTTTCTTGGATGGTAGCACAGTAGATTAGATTAACTAACAACTAAAGGGATACATTTTTCTTTTGACCTTTAGCTCCCTCTAGTGGTCTTTCTGAGTTCTCTACAAGGGATTTAAAAGGGAAATACAATCTAAATTTTTCAGATCTGTCTCAGTGGCAGAAACAATTTCCCAAGTGAACACAAAGTAGTGAACAAGTACCTTGTGGTCGCCATGTTGACACAAACTGCTGGTTTTGCCATGGACAAAGTTGTAATGTGAAGCAGCCCTTCCTGCTTACTATTCACTGTAATTCACTGATGTTATGTGAATATAAGTGCAAAGAAGTAAGGTTGTGCAGCAGACGTTTCACTGCAGAAATGCTCCAATGTGAACAGCGTGCAGAGTTAGCAGGTACTGTATTTATTGGCAAAACCGTCTCAAACCCGAGAGTAATATTTCTATTGGATTAAAGGAGATGTATTCACAAGACTGCTTGTTTACAATGTAATAGGGCCACTTCAACTCATTGGAAGTTTGATTGCCTCATCCATCATCGCAGAATATAGTGCTGGACATACCGGGAAATTTTGTCTATTATGTGATGTAAATTGGAGGTTTTACAAGTTACCGTGTACATGTTTCTTTCATTGTGGGTTGAAATGCAGATTCTTTCTAACCCCCCAAATATAAAAATAGCACTGCAGTTCCCCTTTTAATACTTTTGTATCCAAATATCTGTACTTACTGAAGAACTTAGAGCAGGTTTTTAACTTTGCCATTAGAACAAGTACAAAAACAAATCTTAACTCTTTAGACAGAAGGTCCTAAAGCCAAACATATGTTAAATGTCATCATTTGAATTAAAAACAAATCTCTGGCTCTGGTTTAAAAGTACTAAAATGACTGCAATAAACAAATCTGATGTCAAGTTAGAGATAAAAGGTTTTTTTAGTCTCACCTCTATCTGTAGGTCTACATCAATAAAACGCAACACCTACCTGATGAGCCAGTTCATGTCCTATCACCATGGTGACCCAAAGCTTATCTGAGGCAGATGAGGTCTCAGGATCAAACAGCAAAGCAGTTTCCCTGTATGTGGTCAGACCCCAGTTCTCCATGGCTCCTGACTGGAAGTCAGGGATAGCAATCAAATCTAAAACAGGAGAGGACAGAGAAGCAAGTACAGTTTACAAAAATAATCTAATCTTTAATCAAAGGCCACATAAATCTTGATTGATCTCACTGCTGACTCCAATATGCAAATGAGAGTTCAGCTGGAATGATAACACAAAGATCACTGATGTTTAAAACACCCTATGCTCTAGAAGAAACAATTGTACTAACCATGTATAGAAAATCTTATTCAACATGGGCAGAAACTGTCCACATGAATTCGAACTATTTTTGTTATTACTGATGATTTTCACTATTTCACAGTGTTTTGTGAAAGCTAACAATGATTTATGATGAACAGCTTAAAAACACAGCAGCATACAGATGTTGAATTAAATCAAAGAAAATCAAAGCCTTCCTCAACCCGCACAGTTATGTTTACCCTGCTTTGGCAGTGGATAGTAGATGTTAAAATACTGTTCATAGAACTCCAGGAGTTTCACAGCAGCTTCAAGGGCATAATGGGTTTGGGCCCATTTGTCTGGGACAGCAAAAATGGAAACCTGAAGGAACAAGAAAAAAAATCCTTACACTTATATACTCTAGCTCAGTGGTTCTCAAACTGTGGTATGCGGACCGGCAGTGGTACGTGGAGTGCCGCCAAGTGGTACGCCAAATGACCCTGGAACTGTGTCATGTGCGCTGAAAAATCGGGACGGGTTTTCATATTTTGTATTTTAATACGTGTCGAATACGCAGCCTACGTACTACGATACAGTGCGCGTTAATACTTCGGTGGACACAAGAGATACTCTGTAATTCTATACCACTCTATAGGAATACGTGCTACGGATGTAAGTGACCAATTGTATTTAAAAAAAGCTACTGTATATCCAGCAAATAGGGAGAAAGGAGAATGTGCGTGATTTTGGAACAATGCCAACGTTCTAAACACAGGAATGCATAGAAATACGTGCTACGAACACAGGTCATCTTGTGAGCACAGGAAAGCGTGATAACAGAAAAATATTTAAGAACTGTTCTAATTTGAGAAAAATACACCGAGC